TCTGTTAAAACAACTACTAAGTTGGTAGTTGCTTGGGATATCAACTCTGACTAACACATTGTCTTTCCAGGGGGGCACATTCACGGTGTCAAATTTGGGAGGGCCTTTTGGAATCAAGCAATTCTGTGCCATTATTAATCCACCCCAGTCGGGCATTCTTGCAGTAGGCTCTGGTGAGATAAGTTCGTTGTTTCTTAATGATGCAGTTATTGATTTTGATGTGGATATCATCCTTACTTAAAAATCTATGAGCAGCTGAGAAGAGGGTTATACCTGGTGGCGGTCCTGAGCAATACGAGTTTGCTTCTTTCATGTCCGTAACATTGAGCTGTGATCATCGCGTTATTGATGGTAAGTCGCGTATTTCGACTTCTAAAATGCGATTCTTAGTCTCATCATCTCCACATATAACATCATTTGGTATGTTGGCCTGTCCTTGCTCCTTGACAGTCAATCTAAATGCTCTTTTTTGACAAATGAATGCATTGCTATGATCCCATATTCAGTAATGCTCAAATTCTTTCATCCGTGCCAAGGATAATTGAGATAAGAAAACTATTTCTATGGATGACGCCATAACTGAACTGGCATAGTTCGTTCTCACCATCGTGTATAATATATATAATATGGAAGGTTCTGACTACCTCGTCTGTTTCTGCTTGTATAGGTGCCATAGGTGCAGAATGGTTGAAGGCATTTAAGGGATACATCGAGAATCCAGAAACGATGTTGCTTTAAATTCCTTCTCTCTCTTTTTTTTTTTTTTTGCCTTCCATACTTGTTCCAGTTTTTCAGTTTTGATGACCGAGTTGCGTGAAGGAATCAGATCCGTTTTGAGTTTCAATTAGCTTGGTAATGTCTATATTTTGGCGTTTGTCAAAAGAATAAGGGTAACATAATTTTTTTTTTTTTAATTTAAATAATTGGGCCCTGAGGCATTATATATTGATTTTTATCAAAATTTTAATACTTTTCATCAATTTCTATCAAAATTTGCTAAATTTTTTTTTTTTCAGAGCTTAATATTAGTGATAGACATGATTCTATTTGATTCTGGTTCAAAGGTAATTAAATCGAATCATGAACTAATGAATTTTTCTTTCTTTTAATAATGGAATAAGTGGCTTTTTTTAAAAGAAATGGAATCAAATGTATGGATTTTTGTCCCATCAATTGAATTTTCAAAAGATAACTGCAAATTAAAATCTATAACCATATTCATAAGTTAGACATTTAGACCTAAATCAAAATAATTAACATCAAACATTAAACAAATTTAATGGTAGCTGTGTGTAGGCGTGCGAATGTGTCTAAATTTGAAAAGGAGAGAAATGAATTAAAATTTAGATTTAGGACTTGACCGCCTTGTCTGATATGTGATAAGGTAAAATGTAATGGTAAAAAAATATTTAATGGTGGCGTAAAATTCGATGTAAATTAGTATTTCTACTCACTTTTGCTTCCTAATTTACATCTCATTCGATCTAAATCCAAATACTGTTTCAATGGAAACAACTAAATTCACTTTTTGTCTTCTATTGATGTAAAATTAATAATAAAGAAATAAAAAAAATTGTAAATTTATATTTATTTGTATTTTGAGCCAAGAATGCAATATACATCTCCTTTGCATCTTTCCATTTGAGAGATTTTTGAACACTACAAAGATCTAGATCTCTATTTTACACCACCATTAGATATACTTCAAATGATCTTTTTGTCCATATCATAATCAATTTTGGTTTTGGTTTTGGTTTTGCTAAGAACCAAATGATTCTTGATTCTAAGAACCAAAGCCATTAATATTTTTTGTAGAACTTAACCAAACTACTCTATTTGATTTGGTTTGATCTAGTCATTTTGTCCACCATTACTTAATACAAGTAATGCCATTGTATCTGATTGAGTTAATTATTCCAATGGTCATTGGACTTAGGTCTATATCTTTGACTGGTCACTGAAATTTAAAATGTCGAATTTTGATAGCTGAACTTAGGTTCATGTCTTCGATTACTCCCTGAAGTTTAAAATATCGAGTTTTGTCCACTGAACCTTGAAAAATATTGTACACCGATCTTTCAAAAATATTATACATTACTCACTGAACTTTGAAAAACGCTATACACTACTCACTGTAAAGTCAATATTTTTCAAAGTTCAGCAGTTATACTAGTAAGTAACGTACGACATATTTCAAAGTTCAGTAGTTGAAACTCGACATTTTAAACTTCAACGAGCAATCTAAGACATGGACCTAAGTTTAGTGAGCAATCGAAGATATTAACCTAACTTCAATGATCAAAACTCAACATTTTAAA